CACTGCAATGGGAGCTAGCTATGGAGTACCTACTATGGTAGTATGGTGCCATGGTGGTAGCCGCATTCACCGACTCACTATAGTCATTCTCATTGCAGCAGTATCTATCAATTTTTGACGACTATTGGCATTTAGCGATAAAAAGCGATGAGCTGTAACGTGGCCGTGGCTGTGTAGGTATCATGTGTTATTCCAATTGACATAATATTAATAATTATGTATTATATATTTATGTATAATATTTATGTGATACTGTAAATAAATAATGATATTACTATATATAAGTACCTAGAATATTTTTTATGTACCTATTGAATTTTATTAATTATATAATGCATTATAAAATCTATTTTCTAATAATAGTTTTACAATGTACCTATGGACTTATTTACTATATAGGTATGGTGTATTTACTTTTTATCTATATATACATAAATAGTACACATACATATGCTTGAGTGTATATATCATATAGGTACTGGTCCGGAAATGTATAGTTTGTTATTTCCTCCCAAATTGGCCATGGTGACATATCTGCATAATATCAGAAAACAAGAGTATGAGTAAAATGCGATTTAATTATTATAATAAATTACCTATATAATATTATATGCACAAGTACCCATTCATTTAAATAGCTGCAAAACTACATTTTCTTAATAGATTTTTATATTTTGAWATAGCGATGAATATTATAGTAGGTACCTAGACACCTAGTGAATTTTTTTATATTAAGACTACCTATTAAGTAGATATAATCTATTTCWAACTAAATTAAACTTTTTTTTAACAAGAATCGATTATTAAGAATGAGAGTTACCCAATTGATTCCTGCCGGAAAGGTTATTTTAAATGTTAATAAAATGAGCTGAATTGGTTCTCGTTTGAGGTGTACACTACACAATTAGTCGAGTTGGTTCCCGCATAAGATAGACAAGTCAAGTGTGCACATTTTTTACTCTCATATGTATATTGTATACACTGGAGTTTAAATGCTATAGCTGGCAACCAGTCAAATATAATATTATGAAAGACTTAAACTATAAATATAAACATAGGCGTGCGCAGGGGGTATGCAGGGTATGCAGCTGCATACACTGAACTACTGAAGTTCTGTGAGGGGCGGACATCGACTCTGGAAAATTGAAACATCCAGTTATCAGTTATCAACTACCAAGTATTTGCGAAATACATACTTCTTGTATTATGTAATGGTATTTATTACAATATTTTTTTMATTAAACAGTAGGTTTTTTCAATATTTGTGAATTGTGTATACATATTATCAGAATTTTACGAGCTTAAAATAACTTTCAGGGCGCGYTGTTGTCAGCYTTCTGCATATCCTGAAAAAGAGGCCTGCGCACGCCTATGAATATAAATAAAATTGTCTGCATATAAAATATTTCTGGTTTGTTGATTTAATAACAACGATTATAACTACATTATGTAGGTGCAATATACGTATATTTTATGCCTACTGTGGATCAGGGCTTAGACACCCGGGGGAGGGACGTATAGGTGGTCCAAATCCACGTTACAACATGAAAGCACATAAGTACATTAATGTAATAACAAACATTTATTACTACTAATATATTTTGAAGTACCTACTTATGTATTGTATTAGCATTAGGACCATTAGGTATTAAAATTTATATGAACCAGCGCTCATCGCCTTATTAAATGTCTGTTCACGACAGCGTAGGACTTTCGCGCGGGTGAATGAAAGTAGATAGGTGGTCATAGGTACTTAGCACGAGGTACCTGCAGCTACTTTATGGGAACCAATTAAGCCAATGAAGTGATGTCAAGAACAAATTTGGTTCAATCCATGAAAATTACTTATTATCAATAGGTTAGGTTAGGTTATTCTGAATAAGAACGTAGGTACCTCGCTCGGCAACGAAAAGTTTTCGTCAACAAGATGGTCAGACGCTTCTGCCACCGAGTCGACGCATGAGGCCAGAACTCTGGAACAACGATGGCCGCCGAGTTACGGTTTCATTTTGAATAGACAGAAGCTATATATAGTTACTAATATTGTTGTATCGTCAAAATAAATCGTCCGTTGTGTGTATACAATTAATATAACATAACGGCATAACCGCCATAACCGTGATTCTTTTTAAGCCGAACGTGATCCATGATCATAATATAATGGTAATATTATATAGGTAATAATAAATTACTTTTTTAAATTAATCTAACATTATAATTGATTTTAATGATTTCATACTTCAACTGTCTCGGCGGTAATGGCGGCGGTGCATCGTTCGTCTGTTCGACATTCATGTGTAACATGTCTTCGTAATCTTCGTCTTCCTCACTCTTCCCTTCAGCGCCCGCGATCTCTTCGTCCACTATTCCTTGTAAACGTGTACTGAGCAGGTGTTGGTCGATCAGTCGCAAGTCTTGCATCGAGTTGGGTTCACTGTATCCTGGTGTGGCCAACAACAATCCCACACTGGTCAACAGGTAGTGCGACGAACTCTGAAAAATGTTCGATAAAGTCTAAGACTTGAGGAGAAATTGAGAAGTAGCAACTAGCTAGGTAGGTACTATACAAGGTGTAACAGGACTATTTGACTAATGCTATAACTTTTTTTTAATTTAATATTTTTATAATTTTTTTTTTTATGATCTAGATCTCTAGAGCTCTGCGCTATAATTTTTATATTATATTTTATTTTTGCAACTAGAATTAAATAATTTAAATTTTGTATTAAATTTTTTTTCTCATAATCCAAGACAGCTAATTTATAAATAAGTATTTAAAAACAATTTTAGCATTTAAAACTTTTAATTTGGTTACGTCATTGATTTTTAAACAATTTTCACAGTTTATTAAAATTAAAATTCATTTCTTGCTGATCAGTGTTTTTTTATCATTAAAAGATAGGTAATCAGTAATAAATACATATACTTTATTATTTCATTATTATTTGACATGACCACGGCGTGATGCATAATGTAGGTATATACCGCCACCATATTTAGTCAAATATTACCTGTTGTCCTGTTATTACACCATGTATAATTAAATGTACATTCTCTATTCGTCACATATAATATATATATATATACCTACTTCGATAGTAAATAAATACCGAATATTTTAACTAAAAAATTATTTTATTAAAAGTATTATAATTGGTGGCAACTATAAATGAAATTCGCGACACCGATCCCCTTATTAAATTATGTTTATTATTCATCTAAGCGGGAGCGACTGACCTGTATACATTATATTTAAAAAATAATGGTGTTGCTAATAATTTTTAGAGACCTACCTATCWGATAATATATTATGTTATATAATATATATTTTATCTATAAAAATGTCCTATTTTCATTCTACCAATACCTACATGCTACTGACTTCCATAGAGTATAAACATTAAAGATATATTTCCCATAGTCATAATTTCAACTTTTTATTTAAACTATACATTTTTCCTCCGATTATTTAATAATTCATTAACTTTTTTCCAGTTTGGAACCGACGACGCCTCAGGAATTGCTTTCGCATTATCTCCACAGTAATCGGTAATTTAACTAAACAATTTACGACACCTGTATAGCATTATTTGAATTTTTTGATAAGAAAAAAAATGATTGAAATTTTGTATAATAAAATTGAAATCAAAATAAATAAATTTAACTTCTTAAAATATTTTATAAGATGATTTCACGTTAATTCGGTAACAATTAAGCTAATTTAACGAAAACCCAAAAGTTACTATATAAAGTTWAGTTAAAAAGTTACAACTAGGTTAACTTTAGACTTTTAAACACGTCGAACAGTCAGCCTTACAAAACGGTAACTATAACGTCTGTAGTATAACACTTACCTTTTGCGCCAAACCGTTTGACCGGGGCATGAGTACGAGGTGTTGTTGTGAGCCGGCCGACCGCATGGCAGTAACGGATTGTTGCATGACGAACTTTTTTAGATCGCCTTCGCTCCTGCTCATTCGTCTGGACTCCAGCAGACGCCGAGGCGGCGTCGTCGAAGGAGAGTCGGCGTTGGCGTTGGACCAATGGTCGTAGCTCGTCTGTCTGCAGTCTCTGGGCGTGGGTGGCAACGGCGTGGTGGCGATCCTGGGCAACGGTCGCGGACACGACAGCAGCTCGTTATGTAACTCGTCGGCTTCGGTGCAATACAGTTCCAGGTCACCATCGCCCGCTTTGAACTTGCTGTAACCGTGGTATAGAAAATAAATTTCAACAAAACCGTCCACGCAATCGTTATTGGTGCGAACCTTTTGAATTATACCCTGCAGGTTAGGTATAGTTATGCAACATATTAGCCACCTACCGACCACCAGGACTACGTAGTGCACTTTCGATAAGTGCGGAGAGTGGCTGGAGCCATCGTCATATACTTTAAATGATAACTACTACATATTGAACTGATATTATCAACAATCTGAGTATCGTTAGATGRTTTTTTTATTATCAATCTCTCCCCCTCCCTCCTATTGAAAAATCTTGAGTGCGCCACTGCTTGTGGGAATTTAGGCTCACAAAACTTATGGTAGTAAATTATAATAATATTGTTAATTGCTGTGAGAACTGACGTTCTATGACAGTGTTCTTGTTTTAGTTAATACTATGAAGGATTTGAGCCCCTCTCTAAAAAAAAGGTCTATTTGCGACTTGGATCTAATATAATACGTATCAATTATTGTTGTATTGGTACCTGTTGGTGCGTATTGTGCACACTCTATGTAAATCGTCTGATACGGCTGGCAGAGGTAAGTAACTACATTGTATTTGTGTCCAATGGAGTGTTACTTTGATTTTTCCAGTGTGAGGGTCTGTTACTAATATTTCCTCTGACTTTACAGATAGAGTACCATACAGGCCGGTTAAACCAGCTGTTTTAGAATGTTCGTTGTCAATTATCGATACAGTATACTCGTTTGTTGTCTCTGCAATGGATAATATATAACTTTTATTATTTATTTATACTTACCGTTTATTTATGTGATAATTAATATACTTATTCTTRCAAAGTTATGTAATAAGACGTGTGAGAAGTATGAATAAAAAGTGTAATACTTACGTGAACTCATTATTATTAATTCATATGAGTAATTACACTATTACAGTATATATCGCATATCAATCATWAGTTTATTCGTATTTTATTCGAGAGGGTCATATTACTATTAACTATAAAATTATACCTATAAATACTCGTAATGTATTTAGTGTTATCCTATATCCTCATAAAAGCTGCATATCAGCATTTAGTATAGGAAAAACATTTAAGTTGTACTGTACTAACTTAAATTAACTAATTTATGATATATTTTTTTTTAACTAGGTAACGAGTATGTTAATATTTCAATCGGGAGAATTTTGTAGGAATAAATTTTCATTCGGTTTTAAATGATTGCCAATCGTGAATATATATCCTAAACACAATTTATTTAAGATTCTTAGAATTCTTACAAAATCAAAATTTTTGAAAAATAATTTGATTCTATTTAGAGATTTATTTCTAGGAATATTAGGAATATAAGAAGACGCCACACGGACATTAAATTTGTTGTCCCCAATTTAAAATGTTGGTACAACATAGCAAATTATACGTTCATAATAAAACTTTTACTCTGCATATTTTTCAAAATTCGAGTGAATTTACTTCTTATAAAATTTAAAGGCAAGAATATCGAATGAAATATAGAACAAAATATCACACATTATATTGTTGCTTCTTAATTATTTCAGTTTGCCAACGTCTACACTCTWCATACTGTTAGTTAAAAAATACATTAGTATAATTTATACACACACGCGCGCGTGCGCACGCACACACACATATATATTATGTATTAAACTATTGCAAATTAGGAAATTATTAATTAATATACCTAACAATAACTTAAAAACTAAACATTTTATAATTATTAGAGATAACTAGGTAGTTGTAATAATTAATTCGATAACTATCMGCTATATAATATTATCAAATATGATTTATGCGTCATTCATTCATACTCATATGGTATTGTACTATTGTATTCGTTTTCTATACTTAATATATCATATATGTTGATGCCAACGACGTAAATTAAATAATATTATTATAAAATATGACATTTAGATATAGTTATAGATATTATTTATAAATTGTAGTGATTCGTACTTATATTTGTTGGTGGTTTTAAGACATCTCTTATAGCTTTCATCCATTTTTGTGACTCTGTTTCTGATTTTCCAGCAAGAAAAATACAAGGTTGTTGTTCCTTTTGTCCTGCATTAAATATTCCAAAACCGTAAGCTTTAGTCCTGTAGTGATAAAATAAAAACATCAATTATAGCTATATCAATTATCAATATTTTGATAACATCTTTGAACGATTATAACAATTATAAAAATCCAAGATAGAGTTTGTTGAGTTTTATTTTTGCTCATAAATCTATCTCTTAAATATCAGATTAAAAATCTTAAAATTAAGCAGATTATTAATATTATAAATGCTAAGAAAAAATACAAAAAAAAAAATTCGTAAGATTGTAAAATATAGTAATAAGGTACTAAAGTTACCTCCTATTACCTTACTACCTACACCATTTTTTTTTTTATTGGAATAAAAGGCTTCAACATCACAGGCCATTAGCCTAAAAATAATTATAAGTTAATAACTTTATGGGGATACATTTCTATAAAGGGGGATGTAAAATTGTAAAATATGTTATGCACAATTTTATTTTATTTTTAATTACATTAATTTTGATAAACCTATATTTGTGAAAAATGTATAAATATTTTAACCTACACCATTCTGGTGTGATTATAGTAATTATTTTTTTTTTTTTACTTTTAAGTGTCTGAATTCAACTCTTCTGGTTTTATGATGTTACATTATTATAGAATTGTAACCAATAATCACATAATGTCATGTAATTATAATATTATATGTACTGTTTATACTATACCATAAATAGTATAGGTACCGATAGGTATAATATTATCTTTATGTATTTATAATATTCAAGTATAATGCTTAAGTGTATCGACCTGGATTTAATTCTATAGATGATTGCGTTGTTAGGTATTGCTAAACACGAGTTGACATGTCCCTTACTATGTCCAATGTTGATGATCATACAATTTTCATTTTTAAGTACCTCGCACCATTGGCTTTTCCACGCCTGTTAACATGATTAACAAACAAAATAATTAAAAAATAACTATTAAATGTACGATTTGTAATTGTGAGAAATTTTTACGCGCCTATATTATCATTATATTAAGTAGGTAAAAGTGATTTAATCGTGTTTGGCCGCTGTACATTTAACAAGAAAAGTCTTACCTAATAATACAATTATTGAATCATATTTCGACTATACGAAAACATCAAAAATAATAAAGTAAAACAAAACACGTATTTACATACCTTCCATGAACCGAATTTTCTACCTTTGGCCGGTACTTTTATATCAATTAAACCGCAGATCTCCATGATTGACTTTCAGCTTGTTCTGTCCCTATGATAATTATGCAATTTAACATTTAACTATATTTATATAAGTTTTAATTATTGCTTGTTATGTATTAAAACCAATAATAATAAATAATATTGTAGCTGTTCATAGTGTTTTATTTATTACTATACTTAGCTGTATCACCCATCAGCGCTGACCATAGTAATAAATGAAATCAAAATCGACAATCCTACTGCGGCGGACATTATAATAACTAAGAATTGACTTTTTTTCTAGATATACGTGTAACTAATTGCAACCAGAATAAATAAATGTATGGTTATGATTTTAATATTGAATTAATAATTAATAATAACTATTTAACCACCCTAAAATAACTGGTTCAATCCATTGTCCAAACCAACCTTTCTCGAATCATCAAAATCAATCAGTGTATTTTTTAAAATCTAAATGCAGATTCAGCCATACATTTTGTCTTTAATAAAATATTAGGTATAATATAGCTGTTACAATTAACTTCTATTCAAATGCTCTTACAAACCGTCCGCGGGATCCAAAAATATATGTGTGTAATACATTTTGGCACAAATTCTTTGAAAACTGCGAATTTGCATTTGCGGCATTTGGATGTAATCTTACTATATATATCTGCGTAAGACGATCGTCTACCATTTCTGATTTGTTCAAATTGAAATGTTCAAAATATAGTCATATTTAATATAATTTGTCAAATCGATCGACTATTTTTTTTTTTTTAGTATCTGGTATAAACCATTACCATAAATTTTGCCTTTATGTATTTTATTAAAGCTATAACTCAATTTTACATTTATTCAGGATTATTATATAATAATTACCTAGCCTAAATTATAAGATGTTATATAATACTGAAAATGATATGCAATTATAATAAGTGATAACTATTTTATTGTCTGTAATGAATGTCAACCTTATGTATATCAACAAAAAGAGAGTAGAAACGAAACTCATGTATATGAGTTATCATTGCTATCCTATAGTAACATCTAAATCAGGGTTGAAATATGAAGCGACAGCTGATGCTCTTCGAGTCTCAAGACATATATTGCTATAATTTTTATCGAAAATGTTCCAGTAGTTTTTAAGYCTTCAACGAACAATAAAATATCGAAAGAAAGAAACATTAATTTTTATATAGTTATATACAAAGTTTTAATATTTTTTTCGTCTCTTTTAATTTGATTCAACTTGAAAAAATAAGCCGTGAAATAGGTACTTGAAGGTCGATTCAAATAAGATATGGTATGATAAATTAGTCTATATAGCTAGTAGCTATATATTGTCTCGTCTTGTATTATTAATTTATACTCGGAATCACATTATGCTGGATATATCATCTAATATAGCCAATATAGGTATGTCAAAAAGTTCACAAATAACTATTATTATTACTTTATTGCCTTTGTATGATCATTAAAAATAATGCTTGCACTCTTGATAACATTAAATGTAAATTATTCTCCCGGCTAATGACTTTATTATTGAAGCCGTAATTGAAAATAAAAAAATAGTTCATAGTGTTTTTAAAATTAATTATTTGTCTAATCTACTGCAGTACCTATGATGAATATTATGTTATATAGAAATATACACATTTTAAGGTTAAATCTAAATATTTGTCAAAAATTAAAATTTKACCACTTAATATAATAAACTTGATTCACAAAAAAAATATCATATTACGTTACATTACTATATAGTATAAAAGAATTCAAGAATTTGAACTGTACCTATATTTAAAAATTCTAAAAATAAGAATTTGATTAAATATATTATTAAAGTAAAAATGGGGTAAATATGTTTGATGAATCACCCGATACAAAATTTAAAACTTTTACAGCAACCTTCATACAAATTACAATTTTAGTATGTGATTACATCGTATATGTAATACGTTTATATATCACTGAAATCGTTTTGAAAGTTTCCAGTAATTTCGGGTACAGTCTCTCTAAGTCACATCTCACATGTCCACGCATCTGACTTAAGATATATATATTTAGATCATTAGAATTTGCCAGACTAAGSTGAAAATGCCTTAGATATATAGCTGTACATACCTGAATATACCTGTTAAATTAATTTTGTATAATGTTCAGTTTTTTAAAGAAAATTTTTATAGACATTAAAAAATAAAAAAACAACGATTTAAGTTTTAATATTATAGTTATTTATTATTGGTAACATGTTATTATTATTACATGACTGTAATTGTTCTTCAACCATTTATATGAATATCTGTATACCTAATTAAAATTGTCAGTCTTATTTTATATAATATATTACACATTGCTCAAAGCTACGTTTGTTTTCAACTACCTTTATAGTACCTATTGTTTTATTTTGTTTGACTCAAGGTACAAGAATAGACACGTTACAATCATTATTATAGCTTTATTATAATATCAAGTTGTAGATTCGCCATGAAGTTTTCAAACGAATATTTTGGTATTTTCGAGGTCCTTATTATAGTCTAACGAAGAATATAATTTTAAATTAAAATATATTACTGAACCTTGAGTTAGTTTTTCTACTCTAAATGTGGAGGTTATGGCCACTTTTATTCTTGTTGATGACCGGAAAATAAAGTATATCTATCAGGCTATATGCCTTATGGTTATAATATATCAGTTATGGTTTATTATATTTATTATTATTTTTTTTTTGCTCTTCAGTAATATTTCGTTGTAAATATCATTGCTTGTGTAGCCCGTGTAAGGAAATTGTTTTCAATTTATTGACTAATCAATGATAATAATGCCATTATAATTCTAAATAGAGAAGACTTCACATTTTTGCCTTTTTAAAATAGTACGTGTAAAATTAATTAATTGCTTGTTTAAATTATTTTTGTATTTTAGTCTCACTATAATTTGTTACGCAATAGAATATACAGGGTGTAACAGAAAGACCTGACAAAAAAAAAAAATTATACTAATTAAACGTATGACAAAAATTGTTAATATTATATGATCAGTAAATAATTTAAGGAATATACTCATGATGTCGGTGAATTCTCAAAAATCATATTTTTAATAAAGTTATTAGGTTCCAAATTGATTTAACCAAGATAATATTGAATTTTAAAAACATACTAAAAAATAAACAACTTGAGTACTTGACTCAGATAAATATTAATAAATTATTCTTAAAAACAGATTCACAAATAGACTATATTGAATTAATCCAAACAATTTTTATTAAATTAAAATTTTTTTTTATTTTCAGTACTAAAAAATAAACATGAAAAAAATGTTTCATACATGTAGCGCTAGGGTAGTTTAATGAACAAAAAAAAAAATAAAATAAAAAATATTGATTTGAACAAAAATTATTCCAAAAATCAGTTCAATCTGTTACACCTTTTACAGCTTATTAGATACCTACTAACTTAGGGGTTATTATGTTATTAATTAATGACATTTTATTTTAAATTGATATCTAAGTATTATAATCAGATCTGCTCCATGTATTATAKTATATTGTATTAAAATAAATTATTATAATTTTATTGAATATGTTGATAATTTTCACGGTAATATTTCTGATTAAAAACTATACAGGCATATGAGGTACTTACTATATATTTGTACAGTCACGTAGCATATAAATAAAATAAAATAAAATTCGCATTTATATATTTTTTGAACTGTAAGAAGTGTTAATGGATACCATGTGGAGAATGTTTAACCGCAATCGCTTGACACTCAGATGATGTACAGAGTACCTATAGACAAGTTGAACATATTGGCAAGGCTGAATAATAATATATACCTACCAGTGGACTGTCACATATTGCSGTTGATCGGTAAGTATGACACATTTTTGTTTATTCAAAAGGCAATTAATAAAAACAATAATTATCGTGTTAATTCTACTTAGCATTTTGCATTGTAGTTAAAATTATTTGAATCTATTTAAATCGTTACTTGATAGTAATTTTAACCGTTTAAACCACAYGTGAGCTTGAACATTTAAAAAATGTATCTATTATATAAAATCGTAAAGGTAATAGTCATAGCTGCAGCTGGTCCAGCAGTAATTAATAATATAACCTTATAAAATAATATAAACTATTTCAAATTATCAAATCATTTTTTTTATCAATGACATTGTATAGATACATGCGGAGTAGTAAGCTAGTAACACATACCTACTGAACCATATAATATTATAGTCTATGACATGTAATATATTATTGTGGACATCACAAATCTAAATGAACAATTTAGTTTAGTGTTTACTATACAAAAGTTATATATACAATGTAATACTATATGTATACTATTAAATTATTAAATATATCGACTTAATAACAATATTAATAAATCACGATGTAAGTATATTTTATAATTTTTTATATATRTTGGTTACTATAATTATTCAAACTGTTTTCTCACCAACGGGATAAAAGTATATGAGTATTACTGAAGATATTGTATAAAAGATAAAGTCATATTTGACTTGAGGCAAAACCGTATGTGGAATGCCCATTGTGAATGTCTGTATGATAGTTTTATGTTTCTATAATGTACACAAAAGATAAACACACAAACATAAATAACATGAAATCAAAATGAGTCATTTTGTTTTTAGTAAATACTTTTGTATTAAGTATAGGTTTTGTGCCCCCAAAACTTATGTCGGGGAAAGTGTTGGACATTAAAATATCAAATAAATAATTACTAATATTAGTTAAGCTATAATTTTTAATTGCAGAAATAGATAATATACATGATCTTACTTGTTGGCTGTTGCCTACCAACTGTGAAATTATATTTATAATCTGCTTAATAATATTTGAATATTAGGATATAYAGAATATATAGTTTCTCGTTAAATTCAATCAATAAAATAAAATACCAAGAAAACCAAATCTACATGATAAAAATTAAAAGCTGTTTGTTAATCTCGCTTAAGYTTGAAAAAGACTTGACCTGCAATTTAGTTGATTTTTTTGCTATTGTGTTTGTAATTGTCAGGATAAGGTTATTTGTATGGAAGAAAATTTCAGGAAAAAGTTCACGGGATCAGTTATAGTTTAAAATTAATATTATTATAGGTATTAGTTACAAGTAATTTCTACTTCTTTATTAAAGTCTATATTGTGTAATATATGTTATAGTCGTTATAGACTATTTTAGGCAATACACGAAAATTGCACCTGTTACTCAACTGTCGGATCTTAATATTTAAATTATAATTAYCTATTAAAAGATGATAACAAAGTCATCGATAAATTTATACTCGATTAGTATTATTATATGCAGTTATGACTTTTCAGGACTAAATCATAAACATTATCAATATTATTAAAAGATAATTTTAACCAATTTATAAGGTATMTGCATACATTTTTCCGTAAATTCATTACTATGTAGCCCATATAGGAGCCCATATAGGAGTCTTATACATAATGTATTGTGATTTGTGATGCCGACAGGTAGGTACATACAAGTAATGTATCACTGTATCGATGATTTTTATGTATAATTTTATATAATACATATAATATGAATATGATCAAACTGATAGTATATAAAGACACCCGACTATTAAGTCGAATACATTTATATTTAAGCGTATTACATTCWATATTAACCTACCATGGAAAGTCCTTCAATCAAAGGTAATATTTTAGAAAAAAAAAAAAATCAAATAAGGCTATAACGCCTATAACCAAGGTTTGGCGATTTTGTTTTTACGAAAATATTATAATATGATAATAGGTATTTTTCTTACCTTAATAAAATTGTGATCGGATATTTATTAGATGCTTTTTGTTAAAATCATCCGGACATACATAAAACTATATTTAGATATCCATAGTATATTATAGGACTATTGAATATTTGCATGAACATATTTCATTGTAGTATAATAATGAATGAGTTTCCTTTACTGTAGGTACATATATCTCGACAATTATTGCTTATTTAGCTAGGGAATAGGTAATACAATTAGAATACCTACGTATTTTGTATATAGTTTTTAGGTATTTGTGGTAGAAAAAATTAATGTATTTCCAATTTATAAGTGTCATCACTGAGTGGCTGCTTTTATCAAGCTTATTCATGTATTTTTATTTATCTTAGCTAATACTCTTATTGTATCCATGAGGTACAGATTGGGTATATATAATAATAAAGCAAAAAAAAAAAAAAACGTATTTGTGATAGAAATAATYTTCGTTATTAAGTTTCTCATTACTTTTTCTATGATAATGTTTAATTAAAATATAATTTCACCGATATTTCACAAAGTCAACAATTATATGAATATTGTAATATACGAATATACGAAAATATATAATATTTTATGAAAGTAAATAATTTGAAATATATGTTCCAATTCTAATTACAACTTATTAATGTAGTGGCATGAGATTAATAATATAAATTATAATTTAAAATACATAAACRGGGAATTTTTCCTCGTGAAAATTTGATGATCAATTAATCAAGTTTTTGCAAACTATTATTACTGTATTAGATGGAAACTTTATTTTTTTTTTCTACGTAATAAACTGTTTTCTGATTATACTTAGATATTACCAGTGTTGCATGAATACTAAATCGAAGATCGATGCCCAAAAATGTTCTATTCAATTTATACGAAGTGATGAAAATTCAAATAAATTACTAAAAATATGAATAGTTGGAAGTTAGAGTAATTAAAAAATATTAATAATAATAATTTTTACAGAACAAACATTATTTTTAAGATACCACCTACATAATAAATTTCACTACATTTCAGCTGATAAGTCGAGGAAGACTAGTTTTACTAATATTGAGCATACTTTTAAAGTAGATTAAACAGGTAGAACTATTAATACAATTATATATGTCACATACTCACATATATGACATAATRTACAAAATTAAAAATATATCTATACAGTATACAACAGACTTATATTAAATATATTTTTAAATATTAGTGATGGTTCTTTTAACAATATTTTTTTCGAAAGTTTTTGCTCTAAAGATAGTAATTTATATTATTCTATTTTATTTATGATTATGATATATAACTTAGAAATTTAATTCTTAATAAATAATGTATAACATAAAATATTAGAATTCAGATGACAACAATATTAAAATGCAAGATAAACTTTATTTTTATTTATTTATTTAAATTATCTGTATAATTAATGGCTACCTACCTAATTATGTTTTCTACAAATATTTAAAAAATGTATTTCTATTAATTTATTGTTAAGCTTTTAAAATGTAAATACGACTTTTGAATTTATATTTGAACTCAAACAGTTTAAGTGAATTAAAATGTATACTCTTAAAACAAAGTTGTTATTATTTTATGTGAAAGTATTACTAAAATGTTTGGTGTTTATAAGGTAAAACAGTCTAAAACTGGTAGTTACTGGTAGCAACTAATGGAAACAGTGAGAACTAAGAAAAATAATGAAAGAACGTCGTATCTGGGTACCGGTTTTATAAATGCTATCTATATCGTGGAAGTTTTGTAATGATCAATTTGTCAAGGTAAGTTTCATTGAATTTTATCGTTAAAAAAAAAAACAAAATCAAAAATTTAATTTTTTTGAACTTTAAGTAAAGAACAGTATTACTTATATGGTACATTTCATAATCAAAGTAGACATGAAATAAAAACAATGTTTACAATTTAAAAGTACGTATTTATACGTAAACGAATTAATACGCTAGGTACGTGCTGAGCACCTTCCTCAGAAATATAGGTGATTAAACGGACACTTCCAACGATTTGTAATATAAACAACTAAAAGATTGTATTTGAATACTGTTGATTTTTCAAATAAATACTAATTAAGTAATATGCTTATTATGCATGTTAAAAGTACATTGTTTATTATAAATATTACCTAGAATAATATATATTGCATAGATATTATGTGTATAAATTAAGTAAATAAAAAAAAAAACATTTTTGCATTTATTTTGATTTAAATGTATACATTGATATATATATATATATGGAATTACAATTTGTGAACAATCAGTAAAAAAAATTTGGTGTATAACAAGTTATAAAATGAGCAGGAAAAATATAACTAATTTAGAAGGAATATACATTTATAAATTATATATTGTTTTTTAATTTTATAAATACATTGCATAAAATATTTATTTTTTTTTAAGTAAGTAGAATATGATAAAATAACAAATAAAATTAATAGATGATAATTAGATTCTTTAAAAATTAAATTAAATTGGTTATATAAATTGTAMAAGTTTAAACACAAAGTAAATACTAATGGGTAAAACTAAATTTGAAAGAATACAATTACTGCAATGCACTTATGAGTAATATAATTATTAAGTCCTACTCCCCAGCATAACTTCTAAGATTTCAATAGAAATTTAAAAATAATGTTTGGTCCTATACTTTTTGCAAATTATTATATTTTATCATCCACTGATATTTAAATGCAGTTTACGAATGKAGAAAACTAACAATATATGATATATAATACTTTGCATTTATGACATTTATTTTGTTAAAGTTGAATTAAAATGTATTTACCTTTAAAGATGCATTCAAGTCTCCGAGACTGATGCAACTGTATTAGGTGATACACAACACAAACAATGTATGTAAATACGCACTCACGTATTTTTAATTATAAGTAAATATATATCAAATGTATAAATTATGTAAACGCCTGGAAATGTATCACTTCAATTAAGGTTAAGCATAAACGTCGCGATTTGTACGAACAWCAACACCAATGAATGGAGCCTAATACGATAACAACTATTCGCGCAACCGAATGTGCATGATTTGATTGCAGTTTTAGTACTGCTGTAGTGCTGTCGGTACTCGGTAGGTATAGTTTATAACCGTTCGTATGTACGTCRTTGTTACGACTTGTTGTAGTCATCGTCACTGTGACGAAATATTTGTGCAACTAGATAATGTTGGCAGTGTTGGTATACCAGACAGGAAATAAAAAAACGAAACAACAATACAATCGTACGCTAATAATTGTTTTTTTTCGTGCTTTAAGGATTTTTTTAACTTTTTTTTTATTCTATTAACACTTGAAATGCGTTATAATAATAATAATAATAATAATAATAATAATAATAATAATAATAATAATACAAAGCTATTTAACTATATAAACGCTGCGCATATTATCATTGTGTTATCTTCACACAATTATTTGTTCGTGTACATTGAAAATGTAAACTGTAACTATTCTTCAGTAGGTACCTATATTCCACAAACGCTTGTAATTGGGTAGTCAACAATGGACACAGAGTTTGATCAATATTTGGCCTATATAGTATATATAACATATATCAGGTATTTTGATCGAAAACCGCATTCGTCTTTAAACTGCATTACAGCAATGTTGTATCTGTAATATAGGGTACACCAATCCAGCTACATATAAACGGCCGGCATAAGAAACTGCAACACTATGAACGAGGATACAAACAATATGGAAACTTTAAGGGAAGGGTCGACGGTGAAGGACAAACGAAACGAAACAGACACCGCATTAGAAGATAACGCTTTAGTTGAGGTAGGCGCATTTGATGTTCAATAATAATTATAATACATACCATATAGGTACTTGTACCTATGTACCTATGTAACAATGGATCATGACTCATATGAGTATTCTATGCATGAAGAAAAATACTTAAATTTTAATGTATATGATTTTATTTTTAAATTATTGACAAATAATTATTTATCAATTAACATAAAAAAAACATCTATTAAAAATTTAGTAAATTTATGCTAGAACAACATTCAATGAAAAATAATTTTATTAAAATTAAATTGTAAAAAATATTTTTAATTTACTTATAATTTTATGATTAACACATTAGAGTTATTTACAAGAGATCTGAATAACTATTATAGAACTAAAGTAACTAATAGAATATAACTCTACGATCGTAAATTGTTCCAGCGATTATAATACTAATGTCATTATTACTTACATTTAATTTCAAAAATAATTTACCACAGTACTATGCAGTGATTGCGCAAATAAAGGTTAGGGTGATCCATTTAATTGGGTATACTAATTATCTCGAAAAGTATTAACTTTAAAAAATTTGTTTTTCTTAAACTCTTAGGTACACCACTATCAACTTTTGATTTTCAAAAGGGGATATATAAATATAATTAAAATATCATGAATTAATAAAACAATTTTTTTCATGAATTTACATGTTAACATTTTTTTGATTGATTTGTGAGRTACAGCTCCTCGAAGTATTGGTGGTTTTTACTATTTTTTCAATAATTATAAAGACCAAGAGCTAGTGATAAATTCGATATCGTTGAATCCAAGGTAACAAAATAAATAACAATTAATTAAAGATTACTATTATACTTTGAACCCTWATCATTTATCAACTTATCGACTAATTGGACTAATTAGATTTATTTTGTTAACTTGGATTCAACGATGTCGAATTTATCACTAAACCCTGGTCTTTACAATTATTAGAAAAATAGTAAAAACCACCAACACTTTAAGGAGCTATATTTCACAAACCAATCAACAGAAAATCAAAAGTTAACACGTAAATTCATGAAAAAGTGGTTTTATTAATTCATGATATTTTAATTATATGCTACTATTTGAAAATCAAAAGTTGATAGTGGTGTAAATAGAGTGTAATTTACTTTTTACAATCATCTTTAACATCTTAGAAAATACAATAATTTAACAACTTTTTCTCCGTATCATATTACTCTGTTGGGAATATATGTAGAATGTAGGTATAGATACCTATGCAACAGGTAATAGTTATATTTATAAACTAAGTAATAATATTAGTTATTAGTAATAACATATTAGTATATATTACCTACTTAACATAACATTTTAAAGCATAAAATATTACTGTACTTTATTTTAATGAAATAATTTTACGATTTTAAAGATTGAAAGCTGAAATATAATRATCAATTAAGTTTGAACAATAAAAAAAATATTTATGCATTGAAAAAGATCTCAAATATTGTTGTAATTTGTAAAAACYTATGAAGTATAATAATACAGTAAGGTCTGTGTCCATAATGTAACATCCATAATATAATTATATACTGCAGATATATTTGTGCATCTATCATCATATTTAAAACAGAAAATTGCATTAATTTTCAACATTGATGATGGTTTCTGGTAGAAAATTTAATATAGTTGGCACCTTTATGGAATAAAAAGTAGAAAATGTTCAGTATAGGTAGGTATAGGTACTTATTAATAGGTAAAAAAAAAGAAATAGGCAAGTATGATGTATAAAGACAGAAATATTCATGCGRCATCAGTTTTTAACGAATTCAAATTTGAGGTGCTTACGTATATGTTTTTGTAAAAATAAAAAGTCACTCATATTATTCATATTATAAATAAATAATAATAGATGTGAACCTGAAACATAATATGACTGGAGTATACTATTATTTTCTAGTGTAATTATAATGACTATAAAGGAAACCATTTGAGGATTTAGGTTCGTAACTTTTGATCACAGACACATATACTTGTACTGAGTACTTATTAGTTGTCAACAAAGTACAATTTAATGCTGCTCGTTTCCGCTGAATTTGATATTAGTATTGAAAATGTGTGTTGATAAGTGTCTTATACTAGTTATACTCTTATGGTTTGTTCAATCCTGCATTAGCAAGGGAATCAATTAACTACCATTCCTCACATTTATATAGCTGGCATAGGCGTCTGCTGTTCTATGTCCTCATTCGTTATTCCGTCAAATCTAGGCATAATACTACACAGTTACTGTTTTCAAAAAAATAGTTTCGGAAATATAATTTTTACAATACCATAAACAATAACTTCTTGCAAAACACTAGAATTATGACTATTATTGGGTCTCAAACGATAATTATTCGAAGAAAATTGTGAAATTAAAAATCAAATTTTTTTAATTTATACGGATATGAAAATTTAGTTTTTGGCACTTGGATGGCCACGCCTCATCCACTAATTGCGAATTCTTTACGCCAAAGTTCGGCATCTGTTTATCCTGCATATATCCCCTAGTATTAAGGTTTTTGAATTTAAACCTGGGTTGAAGCAGATTAATTCTTTTTGGCAGAAGATTTACAGGGTCAGCATTATTAATGTATCAGTCATCAGATATCGTTCACCTTTTTTTCTTTAATTTTTAAGTATTAAAAATTAAAAATATAATATAGGTACAAGGTTCCTAATAAGTTTTTATCATAGTGTTTTAAAAATATTATAAATATATCATGCACATCCCGTTAACAATATTTCTTTACTCTTCACTTCACCTATATATATGTATATATATCCATTGTTATCCTCCTTTGTTTATTGGCTGACATTATTATGATTTATGTTAATATATTAATATACGCCAGGTGAGGAAGAGATGCGTATATAATACTACATCATTCTGTGAGCATAGCTTTTTATTTTGTTATTGTATTATACATGCTTTTAATATACATAATTTGTTAAAATTACACTAATTACAATTTAATTATACGAGTATTATATTATATATTAATAATAGTATTTAGTAAAGTTTTTTTTAATTATTATATTTTAAGTAATTTACAATCTATATAACATAATATTATTATGTACAATGAGCAAATTTGATAATTAATGGTAAGTAACAGGAGAATTTAACATTTGTGTGCAGGCACTCAGCAGCACGTGCACCCGGCCGGGTACATTATTTTAGTATCGCTATAATAGTATTTATAGAATATTTATAGAATACTATAATAGTKTAATAGTACAACAACATTTGAGATATTTGCAATAACTTGTTTATTAATTAAATAAATAATAAAAAAATTAATATACTATAATTATTTAACTATAACTAGATAATTTAGCTCGAGCGTTGACTGCAGTTTAATTATTTTAAAATTTGTATGATATCCATTCTCGGTTATTAGGTACCTAGTGCGTTGTATACATTAATGGTCGAGGAACCTGCACAATCGGATGACAGTTCAAGTTACAGTATGACATTGAGTGAATTTGAAGAAGACAGATGGTATAATCCGACATCGTTGTCTGATGACGCAGCTGAAATAGAAAGCATCCAGAGATTGATTAAATACATACGAGTAACAATACAATACTTAATCATATTATTAAATTATTATTAAAATATTATCAATGTGCAATATTTTGGCATAWAACATATTATGAATTGTGTATTAATTTAAGGTAGGGAAYCAAACGGCTACGGCAATTGCATTGGCTTCGTTGGTGGACTACAATTTACGTGACGAATCCACGCAAAGTGTTGTGATTGTTGCCGGTGGTACAGAGCTTTTGATCAATTTATTAGAAACCGACCACAATGAATGCAGAGTAATGTTGTACGGATTAATACAGATGTTTAAAARTTTTTTTTTTATAGTCCATTATTTAGGCTTTAATTGTTGGAAATCTAATTAGTGCGTACAAAATATTATGCTTAAAAAAAATAAAAATATATCATGATATAATTTTTTTCAATTAAGTATTTATTGAAATATTGAAATAAATTATTTTGAGAAGACATTTATTAGGGTGTTTTAACTCAACAACTAACAATATAGCAAAATTATAATAACTAAAATATGYGTAAAGTAACTTACAAATGTGCATCCAGTTAATAACCTTTTTAGTTGTTGCATAATGTAATAATGCATAAAATATAAACACATTTTAGATTCTGAGYGGAGCGAAGAATGTAATTGATTTTACCATGATGTGTGTTTTTTTTGTGTCTGTCATCACGTTTTGGGGCAG